CTGTTCTTGGCCTTGTTTTCCAAGTGAGGAAAATCCTTTGTAACTTAACAGTTTTGAAGTTGATTTTGCAGGGGGCTGCAGGGGGTTGCGTTCATTTTTAAACTTTGATTTGGTTGTTTTATGTACCATCATTTTAAAGAACCGTTCAGTACCCTTGGCTAAGAAGGGGATGCTGGGTTACATGTGAAGTCGCTCTTAGCCTCTTGACATAAATTCTTACCAATTTCTTCCACCCACTGGCTGTGAGGCCAAATCTTGCTGTAGTTGGCAGCAGACTGTTGCTGATGTAAAGTAGCGCTGAGCTCTTGCATTCCTGAAAATGTGTAGCCTCGGGTAGCATTGCTAGACTTTGTAGGAAGATGTTAACCAGGAGTTTACCAGTGAGTATGTGTAAGGTGCCATTTTAAAACAAGTAGTCTTATTCTCTCGTATTTATTTCCCTATTAAGGAGTAGTATTAACTTTACTAAAACTTCTGTGGTTCACACTTTTTTTATTTTCTGACTTATGCGATTCTACTTAAAAAATCTTTTAACTTTCACATACATGTAACTTTCAACGTGAGAACAAGTCAGTGAAGGAGGAAAAAAAAAAGGCTTTTTAGTGGCATTTAATGAAGGTCTTGTTTCAAAGACTGCTTTACAATGAAGTTTTCCTGTTCCTATCTCCCACAGATGTAGCAAGCTTGCTTTGCTCAAGAGAGCTTACAAAGAACATTGATGTGCTTATGAAATCCAAGTCCAAGGACATATAGTTAATATCCATTAACTCATAATATCCATTTTTCCATCTACTTTTAGAAATATTTGGTTGATTCTATCCTGTCTTAAAATATGTTTACTTACAGCATCAGAAACATGTCGAAATATTAATAAAAATAACACCATCAAAATATACTCTAACATTGTGCTCTCTCTTTCGAGGAGGTTGAAATGTTGCACTCTGCTTTTCGGAAAGAACTGGAGAAAGCAAAGTTCTGTGTTCAACAGCAAAGCCAAAGGCTTGATGCTTCCCAGAAACGGATAGCTGAACTGGAATCTCAGCTTGCTAAAAAGGACCACCTGTTCCTGGAACAAAAGAAGTACCTAGAAGATGTTAAAATTCAAGCAAGGTAGGAGTTTGCTAAAGAAAACTTCGGCAATGTGTTGACAAATGCATCCGCCTTAGTTGGGGCAGAATTGGGGGAAACAGGAACTGGTGGTAGTGTGTGAGGTTTTGTGTTTCTTTTTCTGTTCAGAGGTCAGCTGCAAGCAGTAGAAAGTAGATACAAGGCCCAGAAGAGAATCACACAGGCATTTGAGCTGGAGATCTTAGATCTGTTTGGCCGGCTAGAGAAGAGCAGCCTGCTGAAAAAACTTGAAGAAAAAGCAGAAGCAGCTGAAGCAGCAGAGGAAAGGTAAGGGGACGATGTAAACTATCTCCCAAGATGCTGCTAAGATAACCAGCTCCTTGGAAGATGATGCCCCATTGTAATTCTTAGCACCTGGGTTCATCATTTCAGAATATTTATATTTATATTTATATCAACTTTTACAGAGTCTTCTTCAGTATTCTGCCCAGGTTTCTGAGAGTTATTGGTAAAACTGGAAACAGCTCAAAAATGGACAGTGTGGTACAAGAAAGCTCAGCTGAGCCTCCAATTCATGGATATAAACAACTGTTAAAGTCTTCTTTTTTTTTTTTTCCCCTGGATCCTAACAAATTATGTTGCAACATCAGGATAGTTTCTTGCACTGCAAACATATTTGTAGGAAACACCTGTCCTTGACATAAGTTTAAAATGGAACAACCCCCTCAAAAACAAAACTCTGAAATCCAAGGAAGATCTGTAGGCTTCCTTAACAGGCCAGGATCTATTTTTTCCTGCTTGGGATTGTTGTCAGCCTTGGATTTAATCCATAACTGCATGTTGCAAGGATAAATATGTGACAGTTACCTTTCCAGTTACCATCTGTCATTTCTGCCTTGCTACAGGACTGTGAAAGCAAAAATGATGTAGAAATATGTATGCAGGAGCAAAAATGGAATCTGATCCGAGTAACCTGCCTTCTCTGGCATTTTGATCCTTTCACTATACACTGTTGCTGCCGTTTCCCTGATGTTGTGTCCTCTCTCCTTCCAAAACAGGCTGGATTGTGGCAGTGACGGTTGTGCAGACGCCGTGGCAGGACACAGTGAAGAAACCATTGGTAGAAACGGAGAGACCAAACCTGCGAGCGCGCGGGGCGGCAGCAGCAGCAAGGGCGGCAGCAGCAGCGAGCTCTCCACCCCAGAAAAACCCCAGAACCAGAGATTGAGCAGTCGCTGGGAGACATCCGTGTTGCTGGAGCCCTCGACTACTGTTCCCCTGACTGTAGGTTCCCTCCCCAGCTCCAAGAGCTTCCTTGGAATGAAGGCACGAGAATTATTTCGCAACAAGAGCGAGAGCCAGTGTGATGAGGAGGGCGTAACCATCAACAGCCTTGCTGATACTCTAAGGAGCGAACTCTGTAAAGATCCAAGCCTGGAGAAGAAGGCCCATCCGAGCTCCGACAACCTTAGCCTTTCCCCCAAGATCCAGGAGAGCAGTGTTGGACAGCTTCATATCATGGACTACAACGAAACTCATCATGACCACAGTTAAAAAGGAGGATAGTCAATCAGTGTTATTTTCATATTCTTGGCATAGAACAGGAGGCGTGAATGCAAGTTTAACTAAAAGCTTTTATGTTTCTTTGGTCTGAGCAGCTAGCTCATGCAGTGGAATAGGATTGATGTCCGGGATTGGAAAATGGCTGCTGAATGAATGCAAAGTGATTTTTTGGGGTCTGGAATTGTAATGCCCAGCCTAACTCTTGCTTCTTTCTCAAATTCAGTCTTTAGCAGCGTGTACTAATTTGAAGGGACATCTGTTAGCATTGCAGGTATTTTTTTTCCTTTCTCCCTGTCCCCAGTGAGCAGCTGCATTTATGAACTTGAGTGCAATATGAGGCCAAATTAACATTTGTGACTCTACTATGAATGCTTTGTATTTCCTTGCAAGCTTCCAGTTTAGAGCAGTTAATTATGCTGCCTGTCCAGGTGACTTCTTCGGTTATTTTTATCCTGGAAGGGAGCAAAACTAGAATTTCTAGTGCATTCATCTAAAGGTCTATATTTTACCTGTTCACTGTCCCACTTCCCTTGGAGTCCAGTTTTCATTAATTTGGACTCTGATCAAATAACTAAATGTTTAAAGAAGAATGTACATCTGCAAAGCGATTGACACCCTAATTCATAATCATTGTTCATACTGTCCTTAACATTTCTTGGAAGTTGCATTGGAACGGACGATGAGGAACTGGAGCTTGTAATGCAGAGACCATAGATGCTGAAGACTTGTTAGAACACTAGCTTCTGGTATTTTTAGTATTTTTACCTGTTTGCCTGACACATTGGTACTGACCTCAGACTGGTTTGTGTGTGAAAGCGGGGTGGGTGGGAGAAGAGGGAAAAGGAGGGTTTGCTCAAGTAGTGAGAGCGTGCGGAGCAGGTGGGTGATGCAGCAAGCTCTGAACATCTGCAGAAGAGCCCGTGTCTCTAGCCAAGGAAGTGCTTGTGCTGCCTGGCCTCCCCAGGTCCCACTCTGAGCAATATCACAGTGGTTTCGAATGCGAAACGCTGGCCTCAGTCTTTCTGGGAATGTGTTTCCAGGCTTGGCTTAAAGGATTTGGTCTCCTCGGACTGCTGCTCTGCTCCTGTTGCAGCATGTTTTTCAGCTCAGTGGCACCAGTTTGGCTCCAGGTGTTACCCCTTCGCCCTCATCCCCAGCCTCCCTACAAAGCTGGGCTGTTTGCATGGAAGAGGAAGCTTAAACTGGGAATTGGGATCCTGCCATCGAGCCTTCCAGTGTCAAACATCTCTAAGTGAAAGATGAGCCCTGTGTGAACTGTGGGCTCAGGGTTTGCCAGTGGTGGGAGTCAAATTGTGGCGAGGGAATGAAGCCCCCTCGGGAAGGCAGCGTTTGTGTTAGACCCTAGATACCTGTCTGGGTCCAAGCTTCCTTAGCCATAGCAGGCTTGGAATTGCCCTGCACCTCGTGTGGCCTCTTTCCTTAACCATTCTCTGGGTGGCAGCTGCTGTGGAAGAATCTTCTCAAATGTAAAGCAAGCCCGGGTGCACTTGCACTTGTAGTTTGATTTCCTTCTTACCCTAAAGGGGAAGGGAATCTGTTCAAGGCTGGCATTACGCTGCCTTGTGCCCGACAGTGCTCTTCTCCCATTTCCACTTCTTCCATAACACCTAGGGTCTAAATACATTTCTGCCTCTCTCAGTTATTCTCAGTGTCCTTTCAGTTCGTAACTCTGAGAGTCAAGGTGAACTTCAGTGGTTTTGTCAAAGCTTGAATCTGCATGGAATAGAAAATAGAGAGTTGGTTGTAAGTGGCAGAGCGGTTTTGTCGACATGTCTGTAGGCTTTCTAGGACGTAGCGGTAGCAAATGTGGTAGCGTGTGTTTCGGTAAGACTTGGAGCTCTCCTGCCCCGTGCCCCACAGGTCCCAGCCCTGGAAGTGAACGGTTTGGACGCTGCCCTCGTGTCCCGGGAGCTCCTCGGAGCCTCCTGCTTTGCCGAGCCCCACAGAGCATCCCGCCTGCGCGGGGGCTTCGCCGCTTTTGAGGAGCGCTCGTTTCTGTTGGTGGTTACAAACCTGCCCTGGCGGGGAGATGCAAGCTCGTTGATGAGGTGGCCTTTTTCTTCTTTTAAAAAGGATTTTAGCACCGGGATAGTAACGGAAACCACTTTAGGTTTGTTCATGGACCACAAAGATTATGGAGGAACAAATTTTGCCTTTTTTTTTTTGTTTGTTTGTTTGTACATCTAAAAATCATGGATCTGCTGTATGTAGTTAACTTGCAGTTTGTCTGAAGGGGTCCCATCAGTGAAGTGGAAACAGATTTTTTTAACTGACCGCTTTTAGTTAAATCTAAAAATGCTGTCTTTGTCAAGTTAATCTGTTCCCTGCCTCGCTCTTTGTAAGCATGTTAAACAATCCACATTAAATGCCATAAATATGAAATATGAGGAAATGGTACAATCCTAAGCTAAAGAGAACTTAAACCAAAAGGAGGTTTTTGCTGTCCTTATTAGAATGTTCTAAAATGTCAAGGCAGTTGCTTGTGTTTAACTGTGAACAAATAAAATGTATTGTTTTGCACTACTCTCTGTTCAATTCCCTGCAAGCTGAGCTGGTCTCTCTGGGACAAAACAGGCAAATCCAGTGTTGGAGCATCTTCCAGGAATGCTGCAATGGGAGTAGATGGTTCTGCCCCTTCTTGCGCAGGGTTCCTTGTCCCACACTTGCTTTTCTGTGTGGAGTCATTGGCTTTTTTGTTTGTGAAAAGCTTCAGTGACGACCTGACAGTATAATCCATGAGCTAATTGCAAACAATTCCGCAGTGTAGATCTGTGTGTGAGCTCTGTATGCTCATTTGGTCTAGAGACTACGTAGTGATTAGACAAATTAATACGTGGAAATGTCTAAGAGTTGCTCGCAAAGCTGGGGCTGCCGTCAGGAAGGGGAAGGCTCCGTGTGTGTATGTGCTTGTTGGGGTAGGTAATCTGGAAAGTTGGGATGAGTTTTACAATGTGCAAATGAAAACAAAGCAGAAAGTGAATTCCACTCGCTCATGTTTTTAATAGATTTTGCATATGCCAGTAGGTTTGTGTTGAAAAGCTGTGCTCAACAGTATAAAAATAATTATATATAAATTTCCCACAGAGTAAGTCCACAAAGGTACAAAAGGAGAAGAGTAAAGGACTTTCATTACTCTCTAATGCTAAGTAGTTCGTAAACACAGCACGTAGATGTGTAGTGACAGACATTAGGAAAAGAAACACATTAAATTTGGAAAGTAAAATTAATTATCTTTGATTAATCTTGATTACTTGCATTTACTTAGCTACCGGAATGGCTTGGATTTTAAAAGCATGATTACAAAATAGTTCAGAAAATTGACGAGCTGAACTGCCTCTTTCATACACTCCTACAAGCGAGGGATTTGCTGATAAAGTTTGGGTAAGATCCAGGTTTTACTTCTGAGACAAATTTTTACTCCACATAATTTTGACTGATAAATTTCATGTTATCTGCATATATGAGCTTTACTTTGCAATTATTTTTATCTCTTTATTTCTCCCTTCAGATTGAGGATTTGAGGCAGTAGCTGGGGGCCTTTGGCTGCTGCTTCGATTCACTCCACAGCCCATCTCAAACGTGGCCACTAGAGGCCCCAGCAAGGCTGCCACTTTGGGCTGCAAGAGCTTTAAATATTTGGGGGGAAATGCTGAGTTTCTGCTCTCCCTTGAATTGCCCCTCTCATCTTAAGTAGATCCTTGTATCCACTGCAATACCCGAGACTTAAACTTAACTTCTGACGTTATGAACGTTATCCTACTGGTTATAGTGTCTCAAATGCTGAAAAAAAAATGTTTAACTTGCAGAATCTTCAGCCTGGTTTCAAGTTGACAAATGCCTGGTTTGACCTTAACCTGAATCAGGGGAACAGACAAGTCATTTATCGCCTGCAGGCGTCAGGATTCTGCTGAGATCACCCACAACCTGCCCGTGTTTCTATTCCAGTCTTTGAAACAAAACGTGTTTATTTCCTGGGCCACCTGACGTCTCCGGGTAAGTCACTTTGGCTCTCTGCCTGGTTTCTGAGTGTGTATCTAGCAGTTTTACTTTAACCTCTGTAAGCATAAAACTTTATTGCAGTTCTATGTTTGGCATTTACATCCTGTTTATGTAAATTCTTCAAACACCTTGATTTGTAGCAGAGAAAAACAATTCCTGCTGTATCTTTTTGTCTTTTGAAGTGTCCATCCACTCTGGAAGAGGAGAACTTGTATGGAAATTAAGTAATTTGTCTAGGTGTTTTTGCGAGACTTAACTTTGCAGTCTTCCAGCAGATTCTGGTCATGTCACTACCAATCTTCAAATTGCAAGTTTTATGCACTCATTTTTCTGCTTGTGCCTTAACATTTTGACTGCATTAGACTGAAAGTATAGGGCTAGGCTAGAAATTCCTATACAAGTTTGGCAAGAGTGTGTTTCTTGCATGCCAACCTCTGTCAGGTACTAATGAGCACCTGAATTCTGCAGAGCTGGGAAGGTCAGATGAGGTCTGAGGGGGCTCTCTGACAATTTATTCTGTGTCGCACTGGAAGCAGAAAGCAAATCACAAACAGGAGAATATTTTGTTCTGAGAGCCCGTGTATTCCAACTTGAGCTACGTGATAGTTAGGGTTAGGAAGCAAGACCTGAGAATAGTGTCCCTCTGTCTGAACACTTGCTCTCTGTTAGTCTACACAGGGTGCACTTGCTTGAAAAAGCTTTCCAGACAGCAACTGCTGCTGCACATTTGTCTTTGCAACATGAACCAAGAGTGCAGCAGCTGCAGGCAGTTTTATTTTTTCCCCTAAAGCTGCCTTTGCAAGATGGCTCTCAAAGTCTGAGATAAGGGTCACCTTGTGCTGGCTGTGGCCTGTTAGTGCCTAAGAGTGACCCCAGACAGACTCGTGATCGTTGTGAGGTCACCAAGTATCAGTTAATGGGATCGTGTCTCCTAAAAAGTAGTCCTGTTTCCAGAGCAGAGTATTAGGTATCAGCACGTGTGGATGGGGGAGAGAAAGTGGAAAAGGAGTTATGAGAGAACTAAAAATCTTGAAAATACTTGTTCCAACTGTCACCCTTTCCTACGCTCCCTCTTCTGTATCAATTCTCCCTTCTCTTTGGCTGTTTGTTGCCAAGGTCTGGTCATCTTAAGGCAAAAACATTGTCACAATTTTAGCAAACTGAGTCAGGTTTGCATGGGGAAATGGTTTATTCAGGAGTGTCTTCCAGCAGGAGGCAAAGAACAGGAGCTAACTTGCCTGTGGGAGGGGAAAAGAGCAATCAGATACAGGGAAGACACTGCACTATTGAGATGTTAACTCTGTAGTTAAGGGTGCTTCAATAAAAAGCACCACAGAAGATGCCTATCAGCTTCTGGGGATGGGGGAGTGCCTGTGGCTCTGCTGAAACTCCCCATGCAGCCGAGGAGAAAGCCTTCAGAGACACTGTTATAAGTTCTGGCTAGAATTGTGCATTAGTGTTATAAAACCAGCATGAGACTATTTCAAATGCCTCGCAGTTTTAATGAACTAAGCCTCATAACATCCTTGAAGGCTAGGCAAGCTGTATATTTGTGTTGAGAAAGGGAAAGGACGGGCATTTTATTACGCAGTTTGAAGGGGAAACCAAATGAAAATGCCCCCAGCTTTTGTGATCCATCTGCTCCCACTAGAACACCCTGAGTCGTGTCTGATGGAAATGTCTTCCCACCCGTGGCCTCGCAGCGCCCTGCGAGCCGGGTGTTTTATTGAAGTTCAGATACTGTCAATGAGCCCAACCAAGTGCAACACTGAGCTTGTCCTTTACATCACTGTAGCTCTGCTTGGCAGCAAAGGAGCCAAAGAGGTGTAAGGGAGGATGCTGTTGGTGGGAGACCCTGCAGGAAGCGCCCAGCAGAGCCCAGTGAGTGTGGTTAAAGTACACGGACCTTCCTGCAGCCAGGGGCATGCAAGGGAGACAGCCTTAGTGCTCTGTCCTGTTTTTGTCCTGCTCTGTCCTGCTTTGACTCTTTGGTCCAGATGACCAGGCATTTTCAGTGGGATCAGCTGCAGTGAGGGAATTTGGGGATGCCTAGTGTAAATCTCAGATGTGCTTCTGAATCCTCACAGGAGGCCTTTGCTGCTCTGCCATCGCACCCCTCAAACATCCAGGCTGCTCTCACCTCCAGCTTGGGAAGCAAGCAGGTGTTCCCCGGAAAAGTCTGAGAGGAAGCCTGTAAAATTCCACTCCAGAGAACTTGTCCAAGATTTATTATCTGAGAGATTAGTCTGATTAGTCCTGACTATTCCCTGCCCTAAACACAAGGCTTGTCAAAGGGAGTATGTGAGAGGCAGCCAGTTCTGTTGAGATTACTTTTAGGACAAGACTGGAAATAAGGGCAAGGGAAAGGAGAATTTATCTGCCAAAGGATAGGTTATCTCTTCACAATTTGGATTTAGATAGGGAAGATCACTCTACCAGAGATGCATGAACCTTGATTCTTTAAAAAGCATGTCTACCAGGTGGCTTCCAAGGACTCTTAAGTTTCCCACTGTAACTTTCTGTGTCAATCAGGCCCTTCTTTCTGACACGTTTACTTCCCTGAACTTGCACATCATCTTTGTTACTAACGGAGGTCTGAGCTGCAGGGTGGACAGAAGGTGCTTTGGGGGAAATGGCTGCCCTGGCGGGCGCATCCTGCGGGGCTGTTTTTGCAGAGGCAGCACTTCCAGCACTCACATTATACAGCATGTGCCGCGGCAGCTTCTCGGTGTGGGCGACCCACTCCTTCATGCAGTCCAGGACGATGGGGATGAGGCTCACCACCCCTCCGTAATGATTCTTAGCTTCGTCGCAGCTCAGGTGGTTGACAACATCGTGGGGGTATCTGTGGATAGGAAAGGAAACCTTTAGCAGAGTAGTTCTAGCAATCAACCCAGCGAGCCCCCCAGAGCCGGGCTGAGACCCCTGGGAAGGGCAGAAATGCAGGACCAGCCTTTTCCTGCCTGTGTTGTCCCACTCAAAATAAAAGGCCCTGGCAGAATAGGACATCTCATGAAAGGAGTCCTGCCAAACGCAGGACATCCTGGCTGCTGGGCTAAATCAGGAGGGGTTCAAGAGCATGTACAGTCCCTTGCCCCACAGGCGAATTGTATTCAGAGCAGGCATGGGGGAAATAGAGGTAAACAACCTTTCCATTGAGTGTGACTTCAGGGTAGTGCCCTCCATCAGGAATACAAACCAACCAACAGAAAAACCCTTTTGTGAAAGGAATTTGGTGCTGTTTTTCCTGTTCCTATTCAAACAGGAGTGGAAGTAATAAACAGAGCAGAACCATCTCCTCTCGGTAAAACTAGAAAGCTGGTGTGACGAAAACCAATGGAGGAAACAAGTACATATATCTACATTCTTGTGACAGCCCCCCTGTATTGTCAATTATCTCACAGAAACTGAGCTGATGGAGAGACCTACTTGGCTCGGATGGCACTGAAGTCGTTGCTGGGGCTCAGGAGCAGCTTGCATCTCTCCAGGATGTCATTGGTTACACTGTTCCCGGGATGCAGGGTCTCCAGGCTCTGGCAGAGCTTGCTGAGCTCGTTGCAGATGTTCAGGAACATGCTGAGGATACGCTGGTCAGTGGAATTGTTACAGTGATGGTCCATGTAGGATTGTAC